TGAGTTAAAATTTGATTAATTTACATGTACATGTATGTATTCAGCTGATTTTGATCCCAAATTGCTCAATTACATTTATGTATTTTAAAGATTTCCGAAGCTAATTTTGAACATTTACATGTAATTTTGTGCTACTTGTAGTCTTGTGCATGTAGAAGTTAATACTGTTTAACTTAATTTTTTTGTCATTAATACTGTTTGTTGTAGTTTCTATCGTTTGGTGGTTGATACTAGTCTGTCGTTTGATTCCAGTGGATTCATATCAACTGATGGCACTAGTGCTGTGTTTAGATCCCTCCCTCCCTCTCCTCTCTTTACTCTCAATATGGACGTACCTCACTCCTGGATGGTTGAGGCTATTTATTCACCTTATGATTTGGACAATATTCATCTAGCATCAGTTGAGGACCGAGTAGAGGCTGAGTTTGTCCTGGAATATATACTAGTGGAAGGTAAAGGAGGAGAGAAAAGAGAGGAGGGAGAGGGAGAAAAGAGAGAGGGGGGAGAGGAGGGAGAGAGAGATAGAGGGGGAGGGAGTGAGAAGTAAGCCAGCAAAGGACAATTCCACTGTTAGATTTAGGGGGAAATTCAGGGAATATGTTTGGGGAGAATTTGAATTTCTCAAATCTCCCATAGCTTTTGATTGCCTGTGTCCGTAAGTCTCTCATTTTAGTTAGATTTGTCCCCCGAAAAGTTTTTTCTAAATCAGTTATTAATGGACTTGTGTTTAATTGTAATAGTACAGTAACTAATGAAAGTTCATTTACTGTATCTCTTATTTGTTATTAAGGACAGTGTTTTGATGCTCATATGGATTCTCCTATACCTGGTCTACAGTATGTGATGGGTACTGATACTGATCCTGAACTATATGATACAATAGTAATGGCTAATCTTGTAAGTACATTATACTATACACACAATAATGTAGTGTATGTTTTCAAGCAACTTTAAAAATTCATAAAAAATTTAAATTTGATCAGAATCAGCTCAAACTTGATACTGAGCATGAAAACATGTATATATATATCAGAATAAAATATAAAAGTGGAGAATTACCACCTTTTTATTTTTGGCAAAATTTGGCCAATGACCCTATACTATAGTACAGGGACTTTGACCTGATTTTGGAGCAACTTTAAAAAATCATTAAAAATCCAATTTTGATCAGAATTGGCTGAAACTTTCTGCACAACATTAGAACATTTATACACATCAGACAAAAATATAAAAAGGAAGAAATTTCACCTTTTCATTTTTGACGAAATTTGGCTAATTTTCCTTTTCAAATTTCAATTTTGATATTATTTGTTATTGTTAGGGTTATTTCCAGCTAAAGGGTAAGCCAGGAGCATGGAAGCTGA